ATTACAATATAAAAAAAAAAAAGATAAATATTAGAAAATTAATATAAAAAAGTAAACAAAATGTTTTTATATTGTAATTAAAACTTTAAATAAATAAACAATAAATATATAGTGTAATAAATAGAACAGTATAAAATATAAATTTTACGTACATTTTAGATGCCATAATTATAGTTTTCCTTTTAAAAAAAAGCTTTTTAAATTACTTTTGAATAGCTTTAAACAGGTAGATGCCATAATAAAACCAAAAAAAGAAAAGAACCTTTCTACTGAGGATGAAAAATTGAACAAATAATTTTTTAATAACTGGATAATTATCTAAGCATTGTAATTTAATTTAATTTAATATTACAATACGGGACGAACCCATTAATACATGAATATAAAATTATAATAAAAATAGTTTTGTTTATGGAAACGAGGCTCAATTTTGGAGAGAGAATGAAGGGTCAGAGTTGGCAATGCGCATAAGACGGATGATCGGTGAGTGAAGATAGTAGTTTGAGGAAGAGAAAGGTATATGAAATGGAACAGATGATCGTGTACGGCGGGAGGGGATATTAAATGAGACACGGGATAGTGATTCAGGACAGTCAATTTTAGATGAAAGAAGATTGAATAGAAATGTCAAGTTAGCTGAATGACGACGATCGGCGAGGCTTTCTAAGGAAAAGAGGCGTTGGATTGGCGTGTAATCGTGAGGTGGATAGACTATCTTTAGTTTGTACGCTGCTTGACGGAGGAATTTTCTTTGAACCCTTTCTATCATGCTACGTGCGGAAGCGGTGGACGGGTCCCAGAGGACAGAACCATACTCAAGAATGGGACGGACTAGGGAGCAGAAAAGATTTTTTAGAGGGGAGAGCAAGTGGAAGTTTGAAGAAACACGGTTTATGAAACCTAGCAGTTTAAGAGCTTTACAACATATTATCTGAATATGCATATTAGGGCACAGGTTCCGTGTGAGAGTAAATCCTAAATCCTTTACATAATTATTACAGGTTGTTAAGGCGGTATTGTTTACGGAGTAAATATGCTCGATTACAGCATTAATACGACAAAAAGTCATTACTGAACATTTTGCTATATTAAGAGCTAGTCCCAAAGATTCACCCCACGCAACTAATCGCTGAAGGTCGTTTTGAAGAAGCTGACAGTCAGAGATGGATTTTATACGGAAAAAGATTTTCATATCATCAGCAAAGATAAGGAGTTTGGCATGCTGGAGGATGGAGTCAGCTGAGTTTACGAATAGGGCAAACAGAAGTGGAGAAAGAACAGCACCTTGTGGTACACCTGAGGAGGGGGTAAAGTGGTCCGAAGAGGTGGAATCAACAGTTACCCATTGGATCCTATTTGTAATGTATGAGCGAAACCAGGAAAGTAGTGGTTCGCCGATTCCTATAGAGTCTAGAGTCGACATAAGATGATTATGATCAACACGATCGAAAGCCTTGGAGAAATCTGTGTAGATTACATCTACTTGGCAGTTATCGCGAAAAGAATCATATATATATGAATGTAGACTAAGGTTACAAGTAATAGTTGATCTACCAGGACGGAAGCCATGCTGCTCATCAATTAGGATATGATTCAAGGGAGAACGAATCGAATTAAGAACAAGCGTTTCAAATATTTTGGATAAATGAGGGAGGATAGTTATGGGACGATAGTTTGAAACATCAGTTGAATCACCAGACTTAAATATGGGTCTAATAGAGCCAAGTTTAAGTGCAGACGGAAAAATACCCGAGTCAATAGAACGCCTAAACAATAACCATAACGGTTCTGCAAGAAGAGATCGAAGTTTGTATAAGAAATCACCCTGAATACCATCAGGACCAACAGACTTAATATTGCGAAGGGAACATAAGCATTTGTAGACGTCACTGATCAAAAAATAGGCATTAGACGGGAGCGGAAAGAGGTAGATAGGATGTAATGTTTGGGATGGAGTCGGTGAAGGCTGGGTGAACACGGAGGAAAAATATGCAGCAAAAAGGTTAGCAGAATCGGAAAGAGATGTACTTTGTTTACCATGTAGTGAAACACATGAAGGTATAGGTTGAGAAGAGCGGTTTTTTCTAATAAAACTCCAAAAGTATTTTGGGTTGTGTAATAGGGAGGACTCGGTACGTGAGACAAAATTGCGGTAGCATTGTTTGGAGATGAATTTAAATTTAGCGCGAAGAAGTGAAAAATGCTTGTAATCTGATAATAGCTGGGATGACTTAAATTTGGCATGAGCGCGAGACTTAGCAAACACTAGTTCTTTGAGCTCCTTAGTGTACCAAGACGGGAAAGTAGAGGGGCGAAAAGAGATTTTAGGAACAAAAGTTAAAATTGAATAATGGAGAGCATCAAGGAAGACAGACATGGAATCATCAGGGGAGTATGACAGAAAGGTACTTTTCCAATTGAAATGATTAAAGAAATTAGTTATCTGCATGTAATCAGCCTTACTAAAGTTATAAAATGATTTGAGGGAAGCAGATTGAGGAGCATGAATGGGGAGATTTATAGAGAGTGAGAGAGGTAATGTTTTGGTTATGATTTTAAATGATATTAAACATTTTCCAAATTGTTTTTGTGTATTCTCCAATAAAACAATCAATATAATCAATTATTTAAGATTTCGGTATTACAAAATTTTAAATAAAATTATAATATAAAATTCATATGATATAAATATTTTATTTATTGAGTTATAGATACTTTAATATGAGACTGAAAATTTAGTATAATTGAATGTTACGAAAAATTATAGCATCTAGATAATTAAAATAATAATAATAAAATTAATTTGTTCTGGGCACTTATCTTGCATTATTAGTGACATTTTGGTGTTCCGGCTTAATTCATTTTCTTAAAAAAAAAAAAGAGTAAAACTATTAATTAGTAATTACACAAATTTTAAGAAATTAATTACAAACTGCAAATTATTTGTATGTATCGAAATACCAATTACAAATTTCTATAGTAATTATAATTACTTATTAGTAATTCAATTACTTTAATTAAATTGCCCAACTCGAAAGAAAACTCACAAATTATAGTAGGTTATTAAATTTGTTTCTTATATAATCAGAATATTTAATAAATTCTTAAGAACCTTTTTTTTTTTTTTCAACAGTGATTTCGAATAAAAACTTATTATGACTCTTTTACGACAACGTCCACAATCAATTGGGGTTTTCATTTTTTTTGAGAAATGTAGTGTTATTTTAAAAAAGCAATTTTTTATTTATTTCGTCTCTTTCAACACATAACTTAAATCTCATTTTACACTTGCTTCATATTCGTTTAAGTTAATATGAAAAAGTTGCTAGACATTCCCTTTTCGTCGATGGACCAATTTTGGGAAAAACTGATTTCAAAATATATTGTTTTATTTTTTTTTATTGAGTTTAAACGTATTGATTTGCATACGTAAATGTCGAACAAAACCAATATACCGAAATTGCCCGATAACAACTACCTACAATAATTTTTTTATACTGGTTTAAATTTTAAAAACGTTTTGAATATTACGAGTGAACATGACAGATATAAGTTAACAGCAGGCTCCGTGATTAATCAATGTGCCATACTTGTATGATTTACTATACGTGACGCTATATGAAATAAATTCAAGCGACGGTAAAGTTGAATAGTTTAAGTATTAAAATTTTTTACGGTTTCATAAATATTTATCACACTATTATGTACATACAATAGTACTGTAGTAGATATATTTTTATTAACCGGCGTAAAGCTTACTGGCATTGAGTAATTTTTTCAGTGTATCAAAGTTGTATTACGTTATTTAAATATATTATTATCTCCGAGTTCACAAGTTGCTGGTAAATTTGGAGTCAAATGACCTAGCACAATGTAATATGATTAAGACGAAGTATGTTTTGATTTCTTCTAACAAACATAACATTACACTTTTCTTAACAATGAATGTACAAAAAGAGTTAATGGTGACTTGTTTCAGAACGATATATTGTTATCAGTAGTCCTACAAAATGAATAAATGTGGAACATAAGGAATATATGACAATTAATTAATTTTTTTTTTTTTTACTAGTTTCAAACCATTTTTGAAAATTTAACAAATAATTTTGAAGAATTTTGAGGAGAACTATAATATTTAAGAAAGAGTATTTTTCATAAAAAAGGTAATAAATGTAATAAAAGTTACTGTCTTAATACTGCCTATAATTGAGTAACATTGCAAAAGTGAAAATATCATTTATATACAAGGTTACTAAGCGTTATACTCACTACGAAAGGTTATTTATTGGAATTCGGTTATCTTATTATAGTTATTTAAATTTTAACTAAGTAATGGTTCCATTCCTTGTTGTGATAGAGATATATTTATTAATGAATAGTACACTTAAATAAATTAAATAATAAAATGTAAGCACAAAAGAGATAAATGTAAATAACAACCATATTATTTCTTTGATTTAAACTCAAAATAACACAAGGTTATACTGTATTGTGTCTTAAGATAATAAGTGATATAATTAACATATTTTAACATAAAATGTAATTATTCATTTCTCTTACGGTTCAGATATGAAAATCATGCGTAAATAATTACGAAAAGATTATACATTATGTGTAAGGTTACACTTGAATTTCGTATAATTTATTGATAAATAATAGACAAACTTAGAAACACGAATCATTGGCACAAAAGCGATGACAACAAGATCGTGAATATGGTGCACTGAAATGATAATTTGACGTTTTTTTCGTTATAATTAGACTAAAAATTTTCGAATTTCTATTGTATTACGTTTTGGGATGGTATACGTAGGTAAAAAAATACAAATTGATAAAATAAATCGTATAATATCAACCAAGTCAACCATCGAAATAGAAAAAGCGTGAATCGATGATTTGACTAAAAATTGACGGGTTCACTTGATCTGGGACGAAGGGTGAACAAGGGTTAATTGAAATGTTTACAACGAGTAATAAAACTCTGCATTTAATGTTCACAGACTTCCAAAGAGTACCAACAAGAGTACGACATGAGACGCGGAGAAGAATACTCACGGTTTCACGGGTACACGTACGACGGTGTGTGGACGGCGGCTTTGGCCATTCAAGAAGTAGCCCGTAAAGTGCACCAATCATCGCACGATAAAGGTACCCTTAACAGGACCATTGCGGACTTTCAATACAGGGACCGCGAGTGGGAGGATCTCTTTTTGGCGGCACTCCGAGACACTAGCTTCGAAGGTGTAACGGTAATACATTTTTCTCGAACGAATGCGTGCGCGTGAACTTAAAAAATGAATAATTTGAAATATACGATATACAACAGGGTCCGGTGAGGTTTTATAACAACGAGAGGAAAGCCAGCATACTACTGAAGCAATTTCAAGGTGAGTTTGAACTATAAATTATTTTCACTTTGAATTATCCTGCGTAAGCGTCACCTCTACGATGAGAAAAACGGTATGGATAGTATTAATGTTCACCGTACGATCAAGCAGCTAATTTTTCATCCAATCATGTGAACCATGACAAAAATTGACTTTAAATTTAATACAATTACGAATTTCAAAGTAAACGGAATATTGGCAAAATCAAATGGCTTAATCGTAAAACCACATAAATTAGACATTAATCGTAAGGTTGGATTATCACAACATAAAAATAAATCAAACTCTATTATTGTCCTAACTAACAAAATCGCGTGAATAGTAATGTATAGAATAATATATGTTGTGCATTGCTGCCTAGAGTTGTAGAAAAAATAAATTTATCGTACCCCACCAAATACGTCACATAATGTATGCTGAATATTCATCTCAATTATCGCAGTGGCAGGTTACCGCTCGATTAACTCTGATGATACAACAAAACCACACTTTATATACTATGCTCACCGTATGATTTGTATTATATTATGCATACGCGTGCACGTCATTGTTGTATAATGTACATATAGTGTAGTAGTCGGTAAATGCCAACTATCACAACACGAACACGTACGAGTACATGCATACCGCATTAAACGTCTATAGTTATGTGTTATTTATATTATATAATGGTACTTTTAAATCACACTTTAAAATATTATAATTTCATAAATCATCTCTTAGGTACAGATTTCAATACAAAATGCCTTTTTTTTTTCGCTCTTAAAATTGATTTAAAAACATAAAACTCGTTTGATACATCAATAGGAACTTTAAAAATAAATTCGTATGTACAGAAGTAAAATACTGATTCCAAATCTACCGGTGAATTGAACAGACGATTTACTTACGATGTGTAGTATTGACTTAGACATATCGAATACTGTCACGAAATTAACCACCTATATTATCCATGAACATTACAGAATCGATTATTTGTAAATCAAAATCATGTAGAATTACTATGAACGTGTAACAAAATCGACGGTTATGACCTATATGACTTGACAGTCTAGTTTTTATGTTTTATTTTTAATAATATTACATTTTGTAATTTACAAAAGTTATAATAATTTGTATGTTGATTACGAAAAATTCGTTCTATTCGTTCGAAACTTGTTTTTGAACAACATTTTTGAAGTGCGATTGAACAATTAAAAAACAATGCTCTGGCAAATTCAGCCCATAAAACCGTACTTTTTCAACACTTTTCGTCTACATTTTTTAGAACCCTGCTTTTACTTTACTAAATTATCACCTGTACCCAAGTATTCATCACCGAGTCTTTCTTGTGGAACGAGTGCACTGGATCAAGTCTCTCGGCCGCAAAAAAAATAATACTTCTTCGGTGCGCGTCGAGGACATTCATCATCCACATTTACTGTTAACACCCGTAAACCCGTGTTCTCTCGCACGTCCATCCATTACATCTTGCAAACGACACAACGATCTTCTTGCGCATTAGTTCCAGAACGGCTGTAACTGCTTAGAAAACGATTTGAGTGCGATGTACGATAGGGACTGAAATGTGTGGGAGTCGGGACATTGTTCAACGTTTTCATTGCTCGAACGCAGTATTTCCCAGTCTACTTTGTATCACAACCTCTTTGTAGATTTTTAAGAATCCTACGTCCACCCTCCTTATTTCCTCTGCGCATTTAAATTTAACGAAACAAATTGATGGCTTTTTTTCTGTTTTAATATTTAATTTTAATATGTAATATAAAACAAGTCATTATTAAGTGCTTACTTTCTTACCACATTTATCCGAATAATTTAAATAAACCGTTTAGCATGACGATTGATTGCACTTCTCCAGCAATTTTTTCACATCCCCCCTCCCTCATTCCACCGTGAAGGCTAACCTTTCCCAACTAACCAACCTCGCCAAACTCAAGTTGTGAAACAATGTGTTAGCGTTTGTTTTAGCACCCTACTAACCGGGAATGTACCAGTAATGATACGAGTACCTACGTCTGTTTTTTGGTAGGTTGTCTAACCTGTAAATTTTTCGATCCAAAATTTCGTCCTCAGTTATTGCACCAGTACACAGTGGCGTACATTCAATCTTGCTCTGGTGGGGGGGATTAACAAAATAAATCGTTATATATTTTTTTTTCGTTGCATGCACAGATAAATAACTACTATAAATAGATATTATTTTATACAACTTTTTTACCAATTTATAGTTTACTTTTACATTACAGTAAATTAATAGCTATTGGAATATAAAAACAGCATAGTTAACAAAACTTTTCAAACATCTATCAATATAATTATTTAATTATTATGATATTTGTATACTTGTATATTTTAAGTTCAAAACGTAATAATGAAACTACGAATATATTACACGTCATCAATAGTAAAACAATTTTCTTTTTCTTTTTACGTGTTTGAACCCGTAACCTCTCCCCCCGTATGAACACCACTGCTGGTATATTAGGCTGAGTTCACATTGAATCGTGCCCTGTAAGACAATTATTACTTATAACGATGCACGACGCATAAAGAGCGTCTACGTAGTCAACCAATAGCCACCGTATACGCCATGATACACCCGCCAATAGCGTCGTAATCTTTTAAGTTCACGACTCACACCCCATTTGAACATATGTGCTCATGATAAATGGCACTAATCGTCTCTACCCTATTGATTATATATTGACTATATCGTCTCTATATTATGAGTTAATATGTGTATTAACAATTAAAATGAATTAATATGCACATATTGAATAACATCGATAGCATATTGATATTATCCATAGTATCACCAGTAAAAATACACAAAAAATCATAGAGCTATGTCAAATACTTAAACCAAAAGTTTTACGACGCTGACCAGCTGACCATGGTCTCATCTCAGAAATAACATAAAATGAAAAGTGGACACGTCCAAAATCATCGCTCCCAAGACCAATATAATATAATCTCGCGGAATCCTATTCTTGGCCTGCACATGTGTGATTATACTCACTGGTATTTCCGACTCAACACTATGGAGAATAAACGAGTATAAGTCCGTATAGCGGCGCTCGGTTCCATTCTATACTGCCAGTAAGGTCCAAACTCCAGTTCATTTGTGAATTCATCGTTAACAGACGACAGGAAGGAACCTAGATCCAGCCAACACGTAACGAGGTGGAGTCTCACCGCAGCTCGCAATCTCCGTTCAGTTCAATTGTCCTCCGTGCCATTAACCACTACTAATAATACTAATAACTACCCATTATATTTCAATACAACGGGATCAACCTTCGTGAGTAGATCAACAACATCACAAACTTGTATTATGTAATATGATCATTTATTGTATTTTATGTTCGCTCTTCGGAGTACTTGTAATTTAACAATTATACAGTGTTCATATATATACAAGTATGTAATATTTACTTAAGACTAATGAAATTCTGTTCAATAAACTTAAGTTTTACGTTCCGTTACACACTGATAAACCTTAACCATAAAAAGATTATATTCACAATTATACCACACATTATGGTATAAATTGTGTTTATAGCACTCTACTGAAGTAACTAACCACGCGCTATCGCGAAGTAAATTCGACAAACTTTTAAAGATGCTATAATCAAATGATATAATAAATAATTAATATGTTATACAACATGTTGCGTTAAATAAATAATATATTTCTTGTGTGCATTGACATCGTGCGTTTTGAAGCTCGAAGAAAGTATTTTCATTTTGTAATATACTTTTCTCCTTGTCTGCCAATTAGTCTTTTAGGTTTTTCGGTGTACTTTATCAATACTATACTTTATCTATCCTATAAGTAAACCACTTACCAGACGCATACTATTGGCCAATATACGTCAAAAAATGTAGTTAATATTAATAAGTATATTTTTAAATTTTTCTTATGACTCGAACCATTTAAGAAGGTTGCGTATCACGTTCGATATCTTTTGAATAATTTTAGATATTCGTATATTAATAACAAGATCACCTGTTAGAAAAAGAATCTAAAATTATTACTAAATCGATACCATTAAATTAATGGTGCACTGAAGGCAATTAAATACAAGTAAAAGTATTTTTTTTTCTATTAATCAGCAATACATTTGCCACTTGGAAACACCGTAAGGTAGTACTTCAAGTAGCGAATCGCCGTCATTTATTGAAAAATACAATAATAAAAGATCACCAATTCGAATGGAGTGTAAAAGAGACGAATCCCCTCTTACGACCCCTCTCATAGAGCATTACACATTGTTACATGTCTAACCAGTATCGAGCTATGAAAAGAAAAAAAACTTACAATTTTTTTATCCAAAAATCAGTCGTCTTTTTTAGACTTTTCTTATTTCCGATGGTGTATTCATACTTAACTACAATACGTTGAAATCTTATTTCGTTAGTCGATTGAATGTTATTTAAAATTATGCACAATATTATTTTATGTATATATGTATACACACACACACATTTATATATATATATATATATATATAAACCAAAAATAAGTAAAAGATGGATAACTTGAATAATCTCATTGGTCCGAGAATTTTCATTTGAAAATTGTATTTTAATCATTATCAGGTATTCGTAATTCTAAATTTTATATTTTACGAAATTAATACGACAAGTACCAATATATGGTAAAGTGATAAAACGAAATTATTAAATTAACAAAATATGTATCTTGCAAATAAAATAATATAAATTTAATAAAAATAGTAATAATAATAACAATAATAATAATGATAACAAATATTATACTAGGTAAAACAATAAAACAATTTAACTTATTTAATTGACAAAGGCAGTATTATACTGTAAATAATGAAACCAAAGAACTACATAACATTTTTATAATTTCTTTTTTTTCTAAAAAGGTAATTTCTACGAAATTATAATTATAGTAATTATAATCTGATTTAAACGGCCTCCAGCAAATGTGTCGTTGGAACGTCGTCGTTTCATGGTCCCGTAAAGAA